TTTTGGTGTAGGCTTTTTTGTTTAAATTCATCTAACAGCATTCCAAAAAATGCTATTGAAGCTTTAAAAAAATGTTCCAAAGTTGAATTTCCACCAATATATGTTGTGTTGAAAATATTATGTACCATACCTGTTACTACTGCATCTGTTGAAGTTGAAAGTTTTTCAACACTAGGTCGACTTAAAACATTTTTGAGAAATCAACAAGGAAAYGTTAGATTGTCGGGCGTTGCATTGATGACGATTCATCGTAACATACCTCTAAATGTTGAGGATATTGTTARTATTTTTATTTAAAAAAATAGAAAAATGAATTTTACATAATATTGACAAAAAAATGTTAAGTCTACCTACTGTAGAAAAATGCTTAATTTATTATGTATCTTATTTAATAATAAATATATATTAATACATTTAAATTCCTATATTTGTATCATTTATGTCATAGGTAATTAAAACCACCAGTTCCCAAAAAAATTTTTTAGTTGTAGCTATGGTGGGGGTAAATTGGCCCATAGTGAAAATAATTCTTATATAAGCCACTGGTTCGGCGTAATACACAATACAACTAAAAGCGTCGATAATCATGCACACCACTGATATAATATTATTGGTCGATAAGAAAAATATGTTGTTTGTTTTATGCATTCAAATCAGTTAATTGAATAGTTTGACGTACAGATAAATTTCAACTTAGTCTAATTTAAAACCGGATTACCTGATGTTAAGTTCAAAACAAAAATAATTTATAATACATATAGTACTAAAGTACTTGAATTATTATTATTTCAATGGGATTAAAAATGAGCTAAAAATTTGAAAATGCATTAAATAAGTCTAAAAAATATCCTAAAAAGTATAAAATGAAAATAGTGTTTTGGTTAGAATATATAGGACATGAAATAGGTACTTGAAACACGTTTGTTGCTTGGAAAACATCGCGTAAGATATTCCAAAAAAAATATACAAATGCATAAAAATCCGAGCCTTACTTATAACAATATAACATATAATCGTAAAAATATTCAGGAATTAAACTTRAAATTCTAGCAAAAAACCATTTAAATTTTGTAATAAATATACGACTCACTTAAGTAGTAAATACATACTACCTATACCTTACTGTAGATATTGTGTACTATAATAATAAGGTCCGAGAGTGACTATGGTTTAAAAATCCTTAAAATATGTAATTATTTAGCATATATTCAGTTGATGTAATATTATTGCAGAATGAGTGCAGACACTGCACGATGATCAGTTTTTAAATTATAACATGTACCTATTTTTATTTCTATCAGTAAAAGCTAAATTAACGTTTATATATGTAACTGTTCTGCTTACTGGATAAACCGCATAAATCATAAATTAAACTTACGTTATTATTGCGTGTGTAATTAAATTTAATACTTTCGTCAACATAATATATTATCTCTAAATATGCACCACGTAGTTACCTATTATATTTTAATAATAGGTACCTACTTAATTAGAATAGCCATATCGAAAAGTAATACGCAGATGCTCATCCGTTTAAAATTAATACACAATGTAATATTTTTTTGTAYAGCCGTACACGGTACAGGTAAATAGTTTGGCTTATTAAGAGAAACAATTATTAAGCATTGTGTTTAAGAGTACTAATTRGACATTAGATAAATATATATACATGTATAACAAATCTTTCAGTATACATCATACATGTAAATATTTAACTGTGCAAATTTTATAATAAAAGTAACTATTTATTTAATTATTGACATTTAAACATTTTAGATTTCAAGCGGAGCGGTGAATGTAGGTACTTGGTACTTATATTGGTTTTACAATGATGTGTTTTTTTGGGAACMGTTAACACCATTTAGAGTATTAAAATGTTAAATGTTCATCTTTAAGGGTGTTTTCGGGTAACAAAATGGATTAAGATATTAAGTTTTTAATGTTTTTAAAGGGGGGAGGGGATCCTAAGCAAAAATGTCTCTATACTTCTAAGTATTTCTGTAAAAAAGGAAAAAAAATAGGGAAAACCGAAACTTTTCCCCAAAATCTATAGTTTTTGACAAAATCTGTATAGATAGGTAGGTACCTAATATGTATGATACTTAACAAAATTCGTCAATATCACAATAATGATATCATGTAAATTACTTTGTAATTCAAACTTCATACAATTTTTAACTTTAATATAAGTTTCCTGATATAATTTTTTTTTACCGGATACTAAAATAGTTTTGTAAAAAGCCACGTAGAGCGTTTGAAGTTTAAATGTGGAGGACCTTGGATATTGATACAAAAATAATTTATTGATTATTAATAGCACTCGAAACAATCCACTTTTACTTAAATTATAACAATTTATGTACACGATGAAATTTATAAAAATATTGAGACAATGATGTTTAACCTATACCTATTTAAAAATACTACCAATATAAAGAAATTTAAAATCTTTCGATATTCCTGTTTAAAAATTATTAACAAAAATTCCGTCAAATTATATTGTAAGTTCAAATGTTAAACGATTTAATTTTTTAATTAATTTAAGTTTAATTTAAACGAAAAAAATCATTTTTCACTCAGAATTTTTTTTCATCTGCGATTTTTCGTTGAATTTAAATTTAACACAGCCCTATCACAGTGACCTACTTAATGACAAGCTTCACTTGGTAGGTACAACAAAGCAGTTACTACCTACTTGCTTTCTTTTTCACCATAAATGTCAAAAAAATACGGTTATATTATGTCAATAAGCTTGAATGTTTAAAATATTGTTCCCTGTAGGTAAGTTGTTTATATCGGAATTAATAAAAAGGTTGAGGGTACCTAAATCTACAACATTCTTTTATGAGCCTTCTGGTTTAAAATTTTGACAAATTTTAGAAATTCATCCAAATCGTTTCCACTTACTAGAAATTAATGACAGTTTCTATAACGATTTATTTTGAGGCAGTCATTTAGGATAGAAAAATAATATATATTGTGATGATGACCATATATTGGTTTTTGGTTAATATATTTTCTTTAAAAATAAAAAATGATATTGGGTCTGTTGTCTGTACAAAATTGGTTTCTTACTGTTATTTGAATTCGTTTTTTCAATTCTAAAATGTATGTAGAAAGTGCTTACTTATGTCTTATACTTATACAAATTTGAAAATATATGAAGGTTGGGCGTTCCCATAAAAAAACGGAAATTCACATCAATCATAATGTACTTTCACAAATGACATACAAATAAGTGTTTCAAGTAGCCAATATAATCATTCYGTGGCCAGCACTAAGAAAATGCATTTTACAAGTTAAAAACTTAAACTAAAATAAAAACTTTTTTAAAGTTTTAGATTGTTAAGATTTCAAAATGTTAATATTAAATATGATTTTTGAAGCTGATTTTACTTTGTGTACTGCTATTGCCTATTGTCTATCAATGTATTTAAAGTAATTAATTAATAATTTATTGTGTTTATTTTTTTAAATCTGACCAAAAATATTGTTAAAATTTCAAAATTTTAATTTTAAACATAAAAATTGATATTCATAATATACTTCAATAATGTGTAGTTATCATCAATACGCACGATCATCGTCTCGACGACGACTAATAATAATAATGAAGAGGACGCCATACCCGCATATTGTGTTGTACCAGTTTTACTATAGAGCGTAGCATAGCAAAAACTGTTTCGCGAGGAAAAGAACCGAGAAACCTACTGTTATAACTAAGAAACGAAATTTTCACCATATAAAAAGGAAAATTTTGTTAAACTGAAAGCTAACATAAAAAAGGAGAATTTTGTCTGTGCAATAAAGTTTTAATTTTTTTTTTATATCACTTACCTATACCAAAAAAAGTTCTTATTGTTTCAAAGTACATTATTTTTGTATTTTTAAGCACGAATAACTTTTGTTGTAGTTCTGATATCAAAAAACGAATATTACACAGACAAAATTATCCTTTTTATATGGTGAAAATTTTGTTCCTTAGTTAGGTACCTATAGCTTAAAACTCAAGCTTTCTAGGTTCTTTCTCACGTGAAACAGTTTTTGCTATATTACGTACTTGTAAGACGGAGATAACACTGCGCGTTTGGCGTCCTCTTAAGAGTTTCATTTAAAATTTGTAAGTACCTAGCCTACTACTACTAACCTACTCATTTAATAGAATTGGACATGGGTGTATAATAATTAATAGCAGGTATACCTATATTATGTTGAGATTTTAATGCATACATGTTATAATTTTTTATGGGAAATTTGTTTATTGTTTTACTCAAATTAATATTTAGTATCTACAAGTAGCACACTTGAGCTTGAGTACATAACATATTTAGTAATAATAATTTAAAAAAAAATTTGAGCTACTGTCCTGACACGACTGCATTACAGGCCCGGATTAAGAGATTAAGATCTACAGTGCCCATAGGCTGTAAAAAAATTGGTGCCCTTATTTAAAAAAAATATTGTACACATTTCTTTACTCGATACTTGAATAAATAATAAAATATTATTTTAGGTTTATTAGCTACATCAATATATATGTGTAAATAAGTAAGAACATAAAATTAAACAAAATATTTTTTAGATATATAAAAATATAAAATAACCATAGGTATTATAAAAAAATGAAAAACCCCCCAATATTTTATACTTTTCTTTTTCTTGCTTTTTGATGGGCAAATGTGTTAATAAGTAATCATTAAAATCTAATTTTTCAACCAATTCTGCTTCAATGCTAAATATTGCTAATGCATTCAGCCTTTCCTCCTTCATGGTTGACGTCAAACAGGATTTTACTCTTTCTAGGGCCCGTATTACAATAGTTGAACTTAGGTTAAACCACCGAATTCTCGGCCGATAAAATCAGTGGTTCAAGCGTAACCGAGGTTTAAACTATGATTTATATAAAGTTCCACATGTGTTTCAACAGAACTCGGTGTTTTATATACTATGTGGGTATACACCCATAAATATCTGTTATTTTTTCATAAGCTGTATTTTCGAACTAAGTTGACATTAAAGAGTATCAATGATCACATAATATACATTTCTAATAAAATCAATTTTTCCTGTGATTTCTGCGAGAGGTTGAACCTCTTGATTAATCAACCATAGCCTAAAAAAATAGTTTTAAATGTTGTTAATGTTTATGACTTTTTTCAAATTATTTTATGTGTATTTTAAAATTATTAAGTTAAACATACCTTTCTCTTTTTTTTTCTCTTAGAATCTTTGGCATACTTTGAACAACCAGTAATTTCTACAGCMTTATTTTCAAAAACATCAAAATCATCTCTAATCTGTACAAAGTTATTTTCAAGGCTATTATATAGGTATAATACTGTATGAAGATCAATGTCAGTTGATTGTAATTTGTTATTTGTAGCATTAGAACTAAAATCATAATAAACTTTATATTAATTTATTTATATATTAAACTGACCCTATTAAAATAAAATAAATGGAAGCATAATCTATTTGTTGAAATATTAAATTATAATTTAGTTATTACTCTGTAGATTGTATACAATAAGTATACAATAGTATAAGTATGACAGTATTGTCATACTGTATATTAGCTATATAGTTATACATTAGTATAGTAAGCAAAAATGCTGAGACGACACATTGCTGTCTTGGGCGTCTCGTTCGTGTTGTAGCTATAAGTATATGATAATAATTATGAATATAGTTGGTAGGGTAGTCGAGATTCGCGACCCATTGGCGCTATACCTACGTTTATGAAGTGCGTTGTATTATTATAATTATTATTATTCGATGTAATAAAAACTTGTTTACTAATTTAACTTAAATCTCTCCAGATTACTGAATTAATCTATTCCACTCAACACTATTATTTAAAAATAATTAATTTATAGAGTAAAAGATATCTGTTTAATATTGAACTCTATATGCATATCATTAAACCAGTTTCTAAAGTTTTTAATTTTACAAGCAACCCATTAGCTTCTACTTTATATACAGCTTTTTCTTTTTAATTATCAACTATACTATGCAAAGTTTCAATTATAAATGCATAAGAATTAAATAAMGTATGGCAATCATCAAAACGAGCACTCCAGCGATACKTTTTTTACACTAAGATTGTTCTTCAAAAATGTTTTTAAAATATCCCGACGTGCAGTAAAACTAAAAAAAAAATTGTATAGTTTCTGGAGAAGCATAAAAAATGAAGTAGCAGAACTAAAACTTTCTGCTGCACACGTTCCGACTAAGAGAATGTGCGGAACATGTTACATAGATACTCTGCAAATGAATTAAAACTTTTAATTCTTGATTGCATCCCAGCATATTGACCTGATATATTTCTCGAATTGTCGTAGCTCTAGCCAAAACAATTTTCAATTGGTATATTTTGTGAATTAAGAAAATCCATTACAACATTGCTCATTTATTCAGATTTATGACCACTGTTTGGAATGAATATTAAAAATCTTTCTGCAGGTACACCACTAGGTAAAACATATCTTAATGCAATAACAAGTTGATCGACGTTTGCTATATCAGGTGTAGAATCAATGATTAAAGAATAATACTTAGCTGTTTTTAATTMTTTTATTATAATTTTAATTATATCAATCTTCATCAAAAGTAAAAGTTCTTCATAGAATGTGGATGACAAATAAGACGGAGTTCTTTTTCCTCTGTTCCCATACTTTTCTATATATTGAGCAATAAAAGGGTCAAATTTAGCAAGTAACTTTAGTGTTCCCAAAAAATTTCCATTGCWAATTTTGTTAAGTTGTTCATTATCATCCCTGAATGATAAACCTTTTGTACCGATAAATTTAATTACTTCAACAACTCGATGAAGAACAGCTCTCCAGTAATTAATTTTATCAGTGACTTGTTGCCAATTGAGTGTCGATTCTACCTAAATCACTTAGCAATGTAATAAAACTTAATATATTAATTTTATGTACCAAAGAATTTTCGTGCCTGGAAATAATTAAATGTCCATTTTCCAATCATTCAATCCAGCATCTCCCAGTTAAGTACTGCATCCAAATAATTTGCATGGAGCACAAAATAATACAAATTTTGAAATTGAATAAACAAGCCATTTCCATGAAACATTTTTTCCGTTTTTCGTAAAGAATGATTTATTACAATAACGATCATGATCAGAATAAGTTCGTTTTGATGAGGTAAAATCTGCATCAATATTCTGATCATATCCAAATTTTGCAATATACCTAGTTACGACATATATTACTATTTGTCCAATCGGCTGGATCTTTAAAATTATTTTTATTATTCTGTGTAAGAGGATTAGAAATGAAATTTAGCTCGGATTTTTCTGATTCGTCATTTACATCAACAACTTACTGATCTTAGGAAGATGCAGTACATTGAATAGAAGTAGAAGTAGTATAACAATTATTAATAATAGTTATATCATTTGAATATTCTAGTTTATATCTTCAACACAACTAGGGGTAATGTTGTTTGAAAAAATTATGTAACCTAAGTATTTTACTAAGTAAAATCACTTCTTTTTCTTTCTTATCATTTGTACGTTTTTTCGCTTGTGCTCTACTAATATGTAGTTTCTGATCCATTTTTACATAAATGTCGAACATTAAACTAGGTATATTTAAAACGCACTACTCGCACTTATGTAAAACCTTTATAATAAATTTACAATTTACAATAGTGTTAACAAAATACGTATACTTATGATTAACGGACGATTTTTCGATGCACGTGACGCGTGTACCAACTGTATACTTATACTATTTTCCCCAATTAGTAATCATCGGCGGTGAGCTACGATGAATATAACAACACACTCGCATTGTCTGCAGTCTGCGGCTTCACACACGTAATCGGCGTGTGACCGGTTCTACGCAAAAATAACAATCTAAAAATAAAACGCCGTTTAGAAGACCGCACGACAAAACGCATCGATTATTATTTATTACTATATCAAATTTCCGATATTTAAATAAAAATAACATAAGGATAGTATGCGGGACCCGTGMCCCTAAATCCTTGGTTGTGAAGGCTGAAGCCAACACTGCTTACGCATGGGCGCAACTAAGGTAAAATKTATGGGAGTGCTAAAATCTAAAGCACAATATGAGAACCCCCCCCCCCTTGTTTTAAAATCAGAAGTGTTACTGTCACCGATAATGTAAAAAATCGGTACAGAAAATTTGGGAGTGCTAATTTTGATTTTGGGAGTGCTAAGCACTCCCAAGCCCCCCCCTAGTTTCGCCCATGTGCTTACGCCTTAATCCGGGCCTGACTGCATAGCATAGTTTGGCTAAGACACAATGGTTTTACTGTGCTATTTTTGCGGACGAAACACTTTTCGACCATTCTGTAATGATAACCGTCTTCAACCAGTTCACCAGTAAGMTATTTTGGTCACCAATATAAGATTTTTAAATTTAACAAAAGAAATTATATTAAAAATAACATTTTAACTATGTTTCTTTTTTCGTAGCCATAATTTTAGCAGTTAGGGTAAGTATGTGATGTTTATAAATAAAATAGTAGAGCATTTACCAGTACATTTTTAACAATAATATACTTTATTGTTTTTACAATTGTTACACATTTTGCTTTTTTTTCATATTCATCATGATCCACTCTTAGGTATAATAAAAATAAATGMAAATAGGAAATTAATTTAAAATAAAATAAAACATTTTAGTTTTTAATAACACTTTTGTTACGAATTTATTAGGTTTAGTAATTTACATAACACATTGTTAAACTTGATTTATGTCAGGATAGAAAAACKTTAATACTTATAAATGAGCACTTTATTCAAACTTAGGTATAGCACATATGCCAGGAACAAATAACATAATTAAACAAATAACGTAATATAACAAAGTGATAACAGTTAGAGATCAAGAGATCAACGGTCGTACGACAAGGGCGTCTTAGACTAGACTAACTAAAAAAAACAATACTGAATACTGATATCTTAAAAACTCAGTTCGCTCAGTGCAGCCAACATTCGGTCGTCCTGACCTCCAATGCGTCCTCGTATAGTCACTGGATGTAGTCTCCAAGGTTGGCTGGCGGGCGTCTGCTCCTCTTCAGCGGTTCTTCTGCCACCTTACTGTCTGACTCGTTAGATTCCTCATTGTTGAGATCTTCCTGAACAGAGCCAACATCCTCTTCCTCTGACAGGGAGTCCTCTTCATCAGATACGTTGTCTTCCTCGTTCACCAGTCACCACTGTTTTAATTGGGATAAATGAGCTGTAGTGCTGTATGCCCGTCCACCAGCCCTTGGCACACTGGCTACATGGTAAGTATTGCTAGGCAGGACTTTTATCATCTTTAAAGGTTCTCTGTACTTTATTTGCAGTTTAGAATCTAAACTTTAGATGACTCTCCTGGCGTCGATGGTACTGACATTGCCACAACTTCCCCTAGGTCATACGTGACATTGTCAACACGTTTAGGSTTGTAATACCTGGCCATGTCTTCCTGCTTCTTGAGTATCAGTTCTTTGGCCTCTTGTTGGAGCACCGACATCTTTGGATTCTGGACTGTTAATCCCAAATTTTTGAACTACACTGTTGGTTAGTTTGGGGGCGYGCCCATGTAAAAGTTCATATGGTGTCATCTCAGTCGTTTTGTTGTGCATGTTGTTAAGATACATCTCCACCTCACCAACCACCTTATCCCAACGGTTGTGTTCTTTTGTGTAAATCATTAATGTGCTAACCAACGTACGGTTGACACGTTCCACCTGCCCGTTAGCTTTTGGGTGTCTCGATGAGTTCAGTGTATGTCGAATGTTATGTGTTCTACAAAACTCTTTGTATCATTATAATGCGCTGGCCACACTGCTGGTTTTCAGACGTCGGATCATATTATCACCGGCACTACCGATATACTGAAATCTTTTTCTTACATTATTATTATTAATATATTAAATTTTTCATTGTCAATTATTATACATAATTTTCTAAGTTTCTAACCTAAATTGTTATTACAATATTTTTATACTGTATTACTGCAGCGTCATGCATCGTGCGGGATCCATGTACTTGCTAGCATCATTATTATATTATAATTAATTCCTTTTTTCTTTTACATGTACAATATCGTATGTTTGTGTGTCGCGAGGGACACACATTGATTAACACAATTATATAATTATACAATGACATTTCCTATTATTATACAGTCCATTTACCTATTYATTGCGCGAATAATCGATCCAAGTGCGGATAGAATCGTGCGTCAACATTTGGTCCATCGACGCCGGATAATACCACAAAACAATGTCAGTSAACAGCGAGCAAGATAATCTAGATCACTCATACCATCAAGATCCCTTCCAAACCAGTGCAACGTTGAAACGGCGACGCGACCAGATAAAAGCCGCGCTTACCAGAGTCACCAGCTTCATCGATCGATTTAMACACTCTCCAGATGCGGTAAGCGAAGCAGCCTCCAGGTTATCGGCATTACCGTCCCTACTTCAACAATTTGAAATCGTACAAACTAAAATTGAAGAAATTGATATTGAAAATGACGAGCAATACTCATTAGACCGTGACGATTTTGAAACAAAATACCACAGCACCGCAGGTAGACTCACTAGATTAATAAAATCAACACTTCGACCAGAAATTAGTAATGCTTGCGACACAAACGCAACTTACAGAGAACAAACACCTCTCAGTCAAGGATCGAATAGCACAATGTCGATACGTTCACATTTACCACGGCTACCATTGGAACAGTTCGACGGTGATTATAATAAGTGGCAACGATTTTTCAACTGCTTTAAATCTCGAATACATAACGAACCATCGTTAACACACATAGACAAGTAGCATTTCCTACRATCATGTCTGTCAGGACCACCACTCGATTAGATAAATTCGTTAGAGGTAAATGAATCATGTTATGATAATGCTATGAGCGTTTTAAATCAGAGGTATGACAGAAAAAGATTAATTACAGAATCACATATACGATCATTATTAGAACTGCCAAAACTTACCAATTCAACAGCATGTGACCTGCGAAGCTTTTTACTTAAGTTCTCAACACACTTAGAAGCACTACATGCCCTATCACGCCCTGTCAAGTACTGGGACGATCTATTGGTAGGTATAGTAAGAGCCAAACTAGACACTAAAACACTAGAGCAATGGGAACTGTCAATTACAGTAAACACAGAASTCAGCATTAAACACTTGACAGAATTTCTAGAGAGTAAAGCTGGGTCGCTGGAATCGTTTGAAAACCAAACATCAACCTACAAAGGTACCAAACCACTCAAAAAAAAAAAGGCTATAATTCCACATCTCTTATAGCCACTCAAGCTAGTCAAGAAAGGTGTCCAGCCTGTGCAGAACCACACAAGGTCTACCGATGTGAACGGTTTAAGACAATGTCGATTCAAGACAGGTATGACACAATAAAAAAACATAAATTATGCTTTAATTGTTTTTCAGCTGAACACACAATTTATGAATGCAAAGCTTCCTTATTTCGACACTGTCATCGCAAACACAATTCAATGCTACATGGATTACCATACCAAAAAAAGTCAGTCTCAGATATAAGTCAACTTTCCAAGCCAACAGCCTCTACTGATAACAACATATCATCAYCAGGTGACACTGAAATACAGTCAACAGTAGCACTTCAAATGGCCACAACTACACTCCACGAATACTCTGTAGCATCTCAAGTATTACTGTCTACTGCGATTGTCTACTTACAAGATAATAAAGGTAATCTGCACCAATGTAGAGCAGTTTTAGATTGTGGATCTCACATTAACATCCTATCGCAAAAAATAGCAACGTTGTTAGAGTTGCCCACCCAACGTAGTACACTCCAAATTAGTGGTGTAAATGRTGTTTCGACAAAACCTTCCAAATGCTGTCAAGTATTAATTAAGTCTCGTTATTCACAGTTCTCATTTGTTATAAACTGTCAGGTTTTGCCAGTCGTTACAATGCCATTTCCAGCACTCAACTTTGATACATCCTCCTGGTCTATACCAACATCAGTTCAACAGTCACTAGCTGATACACTATTTCATTCAACGTCCAATATTGATCTACTACTTGGGAATGAAATATTTTTTGAAGTTTTGTTAAGTGAAAAGATTGCATTACAAGGAGTCTCACCATGGTTATGCAAAACATTGCTAGGCTGGATTGTAGCCGGAAGGGCAAAAAGCCAATCATTAAAGGTTAATAAAAAACCTAAACCTCTTATCTCATGTTTACTTAGTGTTACAGGATGGATGTCACCACATCAATCACCTACCAGAACTAATGAAAATGAAGCATGTGAAAAAATGTTCAAGGATACACATAAGCGTGGAGTAGATGGCAAGTTTATTGTGCATTTACCATTCACTCAAGACCCAGCAGTATTAGGACTCTCACAACATGGCAGTTCAACGCTTCCTTAGTGTGGAGAAGCGACTMATGAAAGAYCCAATACTGCGTTCTAACTATGTAGACTTTATGAGTGAATACCATCTTCTAGGTCATATGTMTAAGGTAAACAACCCAGGTACTCATACTGAAGGGTACTACTACTTGCCACACCATGTTGTGGTTAWAGAATCAAGTACAACTACTAAGGTGCGGGTAGTATTTGACGGTTCTGCCAAGTCAACCACAGGAMAATCACTTAATGACATTTTAGCTCCAGGCCCAACCACCCAACCAGAATTGTTTGACATTTTGCTACGCTTTCGTAGCCATATAGTTGTTATCACAGCAGATGTGGCAAAAATGTTTCGGCAAGTCTGGGTGCAACCACAAGACCGTAACTACCAAAGAATCGTGTGGAGAGCCTCTCCAGAACATGAGTTACAACACTACCAATTAAACACAGTTACCTATGGTACAGCATCTGCCTCATTTCTCTCCACCCGTGTGTTGCAAGAAATAACATCATCTGTAGCATCTATAAGTTCAACAGCTGCTCAATCAATTAAAAGCGACTTTTATATGGATGACTACATCAGTGGGTCAGATTCAATCGAAGAAGCACTAACACTATTCCGTGATGTATCCCAAGCACTAAATACTGAGGGCATGATGCTACGGAAATTGTGTTCAAACAGTGCGGCTGTAAGACAATACATATCAGAAGTATCTGACGAACCACATTTCTCATTGGATCTAGGGAATCAGGACACAATCAGGTCATTAGGGTTAGTCTGGTGTCCAGAAAGGGATCAATTGACGTACAGCATATCTCAGAGGGAACAAGTTGATACCAGGACTAAGCGTAATTTACTCTCATCGTTAAACAGTATATTTGACCCCCTTGGTTTTTTAGGTCCAGTTCTGATACGAGGCAAGGTGTTTCTACAAGAACTATGGCAAATCAAGGCCAATTGGGATGATCTATAATTATAGCTACCTCTGTCTGTACAAAAACGTTGGGAGACCTTCACCAAGGATTTGGAAAACCTAGACCAACTATTCATTCCGCGATCAGTAAAGTATAACCCGCATSGAGAAATSCAATTGCACGGATTTTTCGATACATCACAGATAGCGTACGGCGGATGTGTGTATTTGTGACAGAAGGTTAGTGATGAATTGTGGCATGTACAATTGCTATGCGCCAAGTCACGAGTGGCACCCACAAAAACACAAACAATACCCCGATTGGAACTGTGCGGCGCCCATCTGCTGGCTGAGCTAATATCAAGGGTAGCAAAATCGATGGGATTGTCACTACATAATACATATTGTTGGACCGACTCCACAGTTACTCTAACTTGGATTCAGGGAGAATCTTCACAATGGAAAACGTATGTAGCTAACCGAGTCACACAGATCAATGAAGCTGTCAAGCAACAAAACTGGTCTCATGTAAGTACCAGCCTCAACCCAGCTGATCCTCTATCTCGTGGAGTATCAGCCACTGAGTTATTGAACTTGAGCTTGTGGTGGTCAGGACCAGAGTTCTTGCAAAAACGCTTAATCAATAATAGATGTAAAGAAGAATTTCAGCCACCAGATGACAACACACTAGAAAAAAGACCACTAAAATTCACTCTTACTACTACAATAAACCAATTTAGTCTGTCTAATCTAATTTCTAATTGGAATAAACTATTGCGCATATCTGCTATATGGTTAAGATTTATTTCATRGCTCCGGTGGCGACAAAACAGTCAGAATGTGAAACYAACTCTAGGGCCCATCAAAGTAACTGAACTGCAAGTAGTGAAGTGGCGCTGGATACAGTTTGTGCAGAACCAGGAATTTGCTGCCGAGATCAAAGTTCTATCTAGTGGTGGTCTGATAACCAAAGGTCCATTAAAATGTTTATCTCCATTTATRAAGGATGGTGTCCTACGCGTAGGTGGCCGACTGCAGCATTCAGATGAACCATTTGGACGCAAACATCCTGCAGTACTACCAGCCAACAACAATATCACAAATATGATATTTCAAGCACGTCACTTACGCCTCCTACACATAGGCCCTCAAGGACTCCTAGCAAACATAAGAARTKAATTTTGGCCTCTCCGTGGTAGAGACAACGCCAGAAGGATTGTTCACTTATRTCARAAATGTTTCAGAGCCCGACCAACTCCACTACTACAGCCAATGGGCCAACTCCCAAAGCAAAGGGTCACGCCAAGCAAACCGTTTTCTATCACCGGAGTGGACTTTGCAGGACCTATCCAAGTCAAAACAGGTCTGAAGAAGATTGWACTAGTAAAAGCATACATAGCAGTATTTGTATGCATGGCAACAAAGGCTGTTCATCTCGAGCTTGTGAGCAGTCTGACCAGTGAAGCGTTTCTAGCAGCCCTACGCCGGTTCACTTCTAGGCGTGGTCTACCCACCCAAATTTGGTCTGACAACGGTACTAATTTTGTTGGTGCTCGCAAGGAACTTAAGTGTTACTTAGCAAGCACACCCAACACTAAATCAGTAGCTGAAATACTAGTGGACGACGGCATACAATGGGTATTCATTCCACCCAAAGCCCCGCATTTTGGCGGGCTTTGGGAGTCAGCAATGAAGTCCTGCAAACATCACTTATACCGTGCTATGAACTCTTCTCACTTCAACTTCGAAGAACTTACCACACTGTTGACACAAGTGGAAGCATGCCTCAACTCAAGGCCTTTAACTGCCTTATCTTCAGACCCTGGAGATCATCAACCCYTCACACCTGGTCACTTTTTAGTAGGGGCTCCATTACTAGCACTGCCAGATAATGATGTCACAGAGATTYCATCAAATCGACTAAAACGGTGGAAATTAGTACAGAAAGCGTTCCAACTGTTCTGGAAACGCTGGAGAGAAGAATACTTGTCTTCACTGCAAGGCAAGAGTAAGTGGATACAATTACCCTCCCAGATCGAAATTGGTACTCTAGCTGTGCTGGAGGAAGACAATTCTCCTCCACTCTCTTGGAGACTTGTCAGAGTCATAGCAACACATCCAGGACAAGACGGAGTAGTCAGGGTTGTCACCTTACGGACACCAAGCGGCACTGAAATAACCAGACCAGTTGTGAAAATCTGTCCTTTACCAGCCTCAATTTGAAGCCACAGCTTCAAGGTGGCCGGGATGTATCATTATAATGCGTTGGCCACACTGCTGGTTTTCAGACGTCGGATCAT